TCTGGAGCTGTCAGCTGCCTTGATCTTCCCGTTTATATTGTTAATAAGTAACATCGTATCCCCTCCAGTTCAGTTTCTATTCCAGCAGCTGTGTCAGTTTCCTCTCATTCCCAGAATGTATCTGTTATCAGATGGAGCCATTGCTGCTTGTACTTGTCAAGAACTTCCTACACCCATAGTAAGGGACAGGGTTGGTGGCTTCATCCACACTCTTGGCAGCTCCCTTTGCAGATGGAATGTAATTAATCAACACCTTTAGCCTGATGCTCCACTTGACCCTTCCTCATCCCATGGGAGGGATAATCTATCTATGATGATTACTTTGGGTTCACTGGTTTGGCTTTCTGAGTTTCAAGGAACAAATCTATCAAAGTTTGCTAGTTTGAAGGTAAGGGATTTGGTCTCTTTATTGCTTCCCATGACAGCAGAAAGCCACTAAGTATTAGCTCTCATTTTCTTGGTTTGTATTTTCTCTTGCCTCCCATCTCCCAAGAACCTAGGTTCAGAACTTGAGAGTCTTTTCTTCCTTTTCTTCCTTCCTTCCTTCCTTTCTTTTTCCTTCTTTTTTTGACATTGCAAACCTACCATGGCTAAATCCCACTGTAGATCACTTTCAAAGCCCATCTATATCGATCTTAGAAAAAAGAGGCTGGAGCTGTTCTGAGCTTGACCTCCCAACACAGCTAAAACCAGAGACACAATCATAGTGGCTTTGTTACACTAACAACATGCCATCAGTGAAAACAGCAGCTCCCTATGCTTATGCCAAGACCCAGAAAGCAGGAGGAAATAGATGTCCCAGGGCAGAAATATCCATGAGAACAGTTCCTTGTGCTTATGCCAAGACCCATGGAGCAGGAAGAAGTAGATGTCCCAGGACAGAAAGTCTATAGGAAGTTGTGCAGGGAAGAAACATAAAAGTTATTTCTCATATCCCCAATAGGGAAGCCCATTTCACTCCTAGTGCCACAAAGAACAGTGACTTAAGCTTTGATCCTCACTTTACAAGTTCAGAAACTCAATTGCCAGCTCATCTGGTGATAACTGAGCTCTAGGTACTAATTTATTTGAGAATGTGAATTAATTAAATGTGAATGTGAAGTAAACAATTTCCCAGGCAGCTACAGAGTTCCTGTGCTTGGACAACTTGTGGTCCCTTTCTAAAGCACCTAACTGGTATCTCAACCGTAGAAGACCAAATTTGTAGATGGCATGGAGAAAGTACAAAATCAAAACAGACAGAAGACCTGAGCTTCAATCTCAGCTCCTGCCACAGGCTTTGGTCTTAAGCAAGTTGATTCCTTTCTGTAAATGCTGGGGCAAGGCTACCTGCACCACAGATTTGCCAGGATAGGCCATATGGAAGCACTTTTCCAATCAAAAATAAAAGGCTTCGCAGGGCAGAGAAGCCTTTTCAAGGGCATATCCTATATCCTGTTGGTCAACATGCCCTTTTTGTAATCAGGTGTGTGTGTGTGTGTGTTAGTTAGATACAGAGTGAAATCACAGCCAGATCTCTGCCCTCCACATTGGCTCCTTCCAGAGAGCATGTTTTAAGGACACAGAATAGGTTTTATTGTTATTTGTTGGGTTTTTGTTGTGGCTTTTGTTGAGACAATAGCCCAGACTGGCCTTGAACCCACTATGTAGCCAAGATGAGTTAGAACCTCTGATCCTTGATCTCCTGAGTGCTGGTATTATGGGCCTGTAATGGTGGTATTATACCACCATGTCTATTTTAATGATATTAGGAGTCAAACCCAGAGCTTGGTGCATTCTTGAAGCATTCTATCAACTGACCATATTATATGCCCAGTTCCCAGAATAGGTGTCATGTAGCAGTTTCATCCTGAGATTGAAACATTCCACCCTGTAGGGAAGCTCCCTAAGAAGGAAAGTAGTCAACTCAAAAGAGCTTCAGGCAGCTTGGCTAGTGATTCACTAGGCCCCTCCTCCCCAAGAGTAAATAATAAAGATCCTCTCAGGTAATCAAGCCAGAAAGAAGCAGAAACTAGCCAAGCTGCCTGGGGGGGGGGGCGGGGGCTTCACCAGCTGGGCTACCTGGAAAGAACACTCTCCAACATGCTGGACTCCCTGCCGGCTGTGCATTGTGCTCCAAGTTTCAGCTTGTGTAAGCTCTCACTTGTGCTGTGGCAGGCTTTGTGATCCAGATGTTTTTGAGTCATCTCTGCCCCTGTAAGTAACCCTTACTCATATTCCTGTAAGTAACCCCAATACAACTAATTGGTTCACCAAGTTGGATTTTAGTGGCATCTGTATTTTGGTCTGTATATGTGGAGGCTTATATTAATTATAAATGCTCAGTTGATTGGTCAGCCTTGTTACTAGTTAACTCTTACAGTTAACTCATATTTCTCATCTGTGCTTTGCCATGTGGCTCATGGCTTGTTACCTCATTTAATACACATTCTGTTTCCAGGGAGGCTGGCTGGCATCTCCTCTGACTCCACCCTTCCTCATCCCAGCATTCTGTCTGTTTCAGGCTGTCTGGCCCAACCTTTTCCTGCTCAGCCATTGACCAATCAGCTTTTTATTAACAATGAGAGCAATGCACATTTACAGTGTACAAAAGGACTATGCCACAGCATTAGTCTGTCATGGGCTCTCTACCTGAGGCGAGTAGAAGTGTACACATTTCCTCTCCCCAGGAAAAGTCTGTCACATACCAATGGGTTGATTCCCAACCATACATGTTCATTATTCAGCTTTTCAGCGAAGGGCTTCCAGAAAATCAGCTGCCTTCAGGCAGCCCTAGGTTCTCACCAGTGGGTCTTCAGAACTAGCATTTCTGACAAGTGGCCAGTGATGCTGACCTGAGGCTCCAGAACACATTCAGAGAACCACTGGTCCAAACTGATACTGCTAAAGGCATCTACTGCTTTTCCCTCCTAACTTGAGAAATTTACACTCCCTGTACTTTAAACATTTACCTGAGTGACCATCTCCTGTCCATACAGACATTCATCCATCTCTGACTCTATCACATTTTACTACAATATTCAGAATCCAAGTACTTTAAGCTGCAGTATCACAGGAACCAGCCTCCTACTTGGAAAGCATTCAGGGAGTACCTGGCACATGCTGGGCAGCATCACTTCTAAACAGGAGGATAGAATCAAACACTGGGCTCATGCCACAGAGCTCTTTGTGTGCAGCTCTTGGGAGCTATGTTTCACTGTGTCCTGTGCTATGGCCCCAGAATCAAGCACCCAGACTCTTACAGGTGCTGTACTTACCAATGCACTGATTCCAAAATTATTTTGTGAGGGAACTGGCTTAAGAGAGCCTCCAAGTATAAGAGCCATCTCCCGATTTAAGTTATGTTACACTGTAATCAAATGCTCCACCTTGTCTCATTTTCTCTGGACTTTAAAAAAAAATCAGTTCATTTAGTAATTTTAACCTTTCTTCTCCTTACCTTCCTCCATACCCATTGTCTGCTCTACTTTTTTTTCCCTCTTTGGGAGGGGAGAGCAATGGCTCAGAAATTAAGATCACTGGCTGCTGTTCTAGAGGACCTGAGTTTTGTTCCCAGCAACCACATGGTGGCTCGCAAACACCTGTAATTCCAGGGGATCAAAAGCCCCATTCTGGCCTCTGTGGGCACAAACCCACATGCAGACAATACCTGTGCACATAAAATAAATATTTTAATTAAATTTAAAGCTTTTAAATTCACTTTACACTGTTTCTTGGCCTTTTGGCTAAGATCAAGTATAAATTCATTTTACATGTATGTGTTTGCATGCATATGTATGTGCTGTGCCCATGGAGGCCAGAAGGTGGTGGTAGAGTCTGCAATTGGCTGTGAGCCAGTGTGTGTCCTTACCTATTATCTTGCTCAAACATGGAAACAGTTCCTCATATGGGACGCAGCCTCCCTTCAATTATTACTGTCTTTCTTCCCTTTGAATTTCCTGAAATATCCCCCAGTGCTTATCTTCCCTCCCATTCTTGTCTCAGTAAACTATAATCTAGTTTTCACCCTTACGCTCTTTAAACTGTTTTCCCTGATTTTGCACAGTGCACTCCTGACCGCTAAAGCTTTTTCAGTGATTTATGCTGCTCTGTGTGCTTTTCTACTCTGAGGTTCATTTGGCTTCCTGGGCCTTGCACTGCCCTCTGCACTGGAACAATTCCTCCTGGAACTCTCTACCCATCAGGGAAATGTGTCCCAGAAGTCCCCATGCTAAGTACTTGCCCCTACTGGAAGGCAATGCAGCCTTCAGGAGACAGGGTCTAATGGGAAGTCTTTAGGTAGCTGAGAAAATGCTGTTGAAGGAATTGTGGAGCACCAGCCTCTTCCTTGTTCTGTTCTAATTGTAGTAGGTTTCCCTGCCAACACAGTAAGCCAGGTCAACCTGAACTGAAAAAGCAAAATAACAGGTATATTTGAACAAAGTAACTCCCAGATGAGCCCTCCAGTCCCAGAGAAAGCCAAGCCATGTGGCTGAAATAAAGCAGCACACACACACACACACACACACACACACACACACACACACACACACACACACACACACACCACACAGTGGGGCTTGGAGAGAGAGGAATGGGGCTTTCTGGGTCAAGCAGACATGAGTTGGAGATTCCAGCTTGGGAGTAGGCTTTGCCACATTGCTCATCTTTGCCATCCATTGCCACCTAATGCCACCAGTCTGCCTAAGTCTTCTCCTAGGACCTCAAAAACAGAGAGCCAAAGAAAGTCCTTTGTCTTCATAAGTTAATTATCACACATTTTATAGGGAGAGGGCACTGACCAATTCACTCACCTTAATATTTTCAGCTTGAGACCCAGTCTTGCTCAGTAGCACAGAATGTCAGCCTTGAACTCAGGACAATTCCCCTGCCCCAGCCTCCCAGATGCAGAGATTACAGGCATGAACCACCACTCCTGGCTTTCATCTCTCATCTAAGAGGTAGCTACTGAACAAATTACTCCATACAAACTTTACTTCACAAATGTTTGATCAATTTCTGTTGTTGTGTACAAATGCTTACAGAAATATTTTTGAACAGTGCACTGTCATGTATACATGTTTAGAGAAGGGGATTTTTTTTTTTTTAGCTAGAAAGAGTGTATGAAGGTGATAGTGCTTAATTGAATTCATAAGACAGAAAAGAGAAAGATGAAGAAGATTCTATTACTACACTAGAGACTAGAGGCCAGTGATTGGGAAGCAGAAAGGGATAGGATAGGTAAAGAACTCAAAGGCAACACTTTAAACCTGTATGATTAAAAGAGGTCTAACAAAAAGTATCTTCTGTTTGAGCAGTGACCCACAAGATAATAATGCTGCTTACCAGCTTCCCTCACTTGAACTTGTTGGTGATAATAACGCTAATAGAAAGTATTTGTTAATGATGGTTTTAATTTGAGTTTGTGCTGGCTCTTAAGAAACCATCATAACTGGAAGGGAAGAGCACATCAACACTAAAAGGAGTCCACAATGCTTCAGGATGGAGGCCATTTGGCTCCTGGACCCAATGGACATCCAATTCTACCAGAACAGCCATCACTTGAACAATCGGAACTTCTTCAAATACTGGCTCACTTCTTCCTTGGGGTATGGCCTGAGGGCGATGCACGTGGCAATATTCTCTGGCTGCTCAAGCCATAGCATGTGGTCGATCTCTTTCTGTTGCAGGGCCTCTGCCAGCTCCTTCAAGGTGGTCTCGTCAGCTGCCTACAAGTTGCAGAACACAAAACCCAGACTGAATGACCCATTTAGGAAGTGTCAGAGGGTCCCAAGGGGGTGGAGGGGGCTCTGAAACTGGAGATGATGTGGCTCCACAGAAGAACTATATAGCAACAGTTTTATCCCCTGGTTTGCTATTCCCACACTTATAGAAGTGGTTGAGAGGGGACAGAGATGGAGGCTTAATAGTCTGTTAATAAAATGCAATTTTCTCTTTCCTCTTGAATGCTGTAGTTTCTAGTTTCCCTACAGCTGGCACCTGTAGCAGTTTACCCTCATCAGTCAGCTCTGACTCGGCTGACTACTGGAAAGAGTTCTAAAATTACATGTACCTTCCTTCTTGCGCTCTCAGCCCCTCAGGCTCAAGCAGAACACATCTCTCAACTATTTGATGTAGGAGAGCTCAGTCCACTGTGGGCAGTACCATCCCAACGCAAGTGGGCCTTAACTGTGTAAGTAAGGTAGCTGGGAAAGTAAGGGAAGCAAGCCAGAAAGCAGTGCTCCTTCTGTGGTTTCTGCTTGCTCCTGCCCTGAGTTCCTGCTTTGGCTTCCCTAGAGGATGCATGTAACCTATAAGGTGTAACAAACCAATGGGTGGTGACGCACTCCTTTAATCCCAGCACTAAGGAGGCAGGTGGATATCTGTGAGTTTCAGGGCAGATTCCAAAGCTCCCTGTCTTGAAAAATCAAAAAAAAAAAAAAAAAATGTAACAAACCCTTTCCTTCCCAAGTTGCTTTTTGGTTATGGTGTTTATCCCAGCAGCAAATAGCAAACTAGAATACTGTATTATGCCTGTACACTGAGGATAACTTGCAAGATTTGGTTCTCTCCATCAGCTGAGCTTGTCAAGCTTGGTGGCATGTGCCTTTACCCAATGAGTCATCTCACCAACCCTTGAGTTTTTAATTTACTCCATTATATGCTTTTTGGTCAGCAGAATAGAATAGAATCTAAGGCCTAACCCTTGACCCAGATGGAAACACAACTTTATTCCCAGTACTTGGGAGGCAGAGGCAGGTGGATCTCTGTGAGTTAGAGGCCAGCTGGGTCTACAGAGTTAGTTCTAGGACAACCAAGGCTACACAAAGAAACCCTGTCTCAAAAAAACCACCCCACCACCAAATATACCTGCAAGGTCATTTGCTGCCATTTTCTGTCTGATTCAGAAAGCAGCCACTTTTCTTCCCCCACTTAATAAAGGTTCTCTCTATGAAAACAAGTGTTTGGGTGTGGTTTGTGCTTAATCTGCAGGAGGAAGTCCCTGCTGAATGGGAATAGGGAAGTGGGAGGGTCGCCTTGATCTAGCACCAGGCTTTCTGGTAAAGAACATACTGCTGACCTGACTCTTAAAGAGATAGTCCAGGGTTGAAAGAGATGATTCAGTCTCCAGGGAATACTGCTCTAACAGGACCAGACTTTGGTTCCCAGTACCCACATTGGGTTACTCACACCGCCTGTAACTACAGCTCCAGAAGACTCTACACCCTCTCTGCCTTCCAAGCATACGCATGTGCATATATACTCACACACATACACATAATTTAAGTATCCTTTTAAAATTTTCAAGTTAATCTAATAGGCATGTAAGTCACCTACATTGATGGAAAGCAGATGTAAACAGGTAGGTTGGCACGATGGTCCCTTTGGCCATTATTCGTCCATCCTCCCCTTGACAGTGCTTTCCTGCACAACTGTCTCTCTAGAGAAGCAGGTGCTACATAAATGACAGTCATGAGACTCGAAGCTCAGAGCTTTTAAAAATATATGCCTTTTCCCAAGTGAGTGCCTTTTTCCTTCTTAACAAATGGCTTCTATTTTCCTTACTAGCCATGTTTATTAAGGCAGTGGTACTTTTAGGCACAGTTTTAAAAGACATGCGGCTGCAGGAGAAAGGAAGGACCAGGCTTCCCCAGCTCCGCCCTCCCAGGGATCTAAGGGACACGTGAACAAGCAGTTTCTGGTGAACCAACAGTGCCGAGACGCCTGTAACAGCGGGGTCTATGTCTGCTCTTCACAGCCATGCCCTGCCCGGGGGAAGGTTCACTGCGTGGCAGCTCATCCCGCAGACAATTGCCCAAACTCTAATAGATCCCTCCAACAACCAAGCTGCTCGTACATCCGGAAGTCAAAGTTTGGGCCCGAGTACACCTACTTCCGGCCCCTGCATATCCATCCCTTAGCTTTCTTCCGGTTACACTCCCATGACTCACCTCGAGAACCACCTTGCGCATGCGCCCTAGCTCCCGGAGATAAGCGACCGTGTGTGGATGATCTCGGTGAATGTGCAAGGCTGCGGTGGCGGCATGACAAGCCTGCGCTACCAATGCGCCCGTGGGCCAGGAAAAAGGAGCCTGAGATAGATCCTTTCGTAACACTAAGTACTGCACAAGGATCTGCGGCTCCGCCCCAGAGCCTGCCATCTTCCTGACGATCTGAAGGGCCGGACCGACTCTGCGGTGCATGCTGGGATTAGGGTGGAGCCGTGGGTGCCGCCATGTTTTTGTACGGCGGAACCGCAAAGCATGATGGTGGTTTACGTTTTTGAAGGCGCTGTCGGCGGGAAATCTTAAACTGGATCCCGAGTGAGGACGCACTGAAGAGACAGCCAGTCCTGGCGGCAGACGGATTAGCAGTCCTGCACAGCCCCTTCGGTGTTCGGGGCAAGCCCTGCTGCATCAGGCTGCCGCGGCGGTGAGGTAGGCGTGGACACATCTGACAAAAGTACGAGGCGAGGGAGGAGGCGGGGACGCCTTGTTTATCCCGGGACCCTCAGGGTTTCTGCAAGTGTCATAGATAGATAGTTGTCTTTTCTTGTTCGCAGTCAAGGACGTTTGGGTCCATGTTCAACTTATGCTGTCCGGCCAGCTTCGTAGGAAAAAGCTCTTGAGAAGCTGAAGAGGAGATGGATTCTGCGAATACATTGTGTCTAGGCGGAGAGTGCAAAGGAGGTATTGAGAAGGTTGGCTTCCCCAGTGCCGCAGGAAGAACTCTTTCCAGACCTTCTTACTAAAGAGGGGCCTCTGGGGCAGTAACTTTGTTGACTAGATTTGGGTTTGATTCGGGGGCTCTGCGTTTATAAATACTGTGATTTGGACACATTACAGTTCTGCCTCAGTTTCTTCCCTTCTATTATTTTTAAAATTTTGGTTTGAGGTAATAAACGACATATGGGTTGAAATTGTTACTTCAAAATTACAAGTTAAGTTTGATGATTCAGGGTTAAAATGGTGTTGCAGCCGCATGTAATCCATACTCTAGTTCTGAACCCTTTGGCAAACCTCTGTCTCCAAAAATATTTACATTACTATTCATAACAGTAGCAAAATAACAGCAACGAAGTAGCAACGAAAATTTTATGGTAGGGTTCATTACCCCAACATGAGGAACTGTATTAAGTGTATTAGCGGCATCAGGAAGGTTGAGAGCTGCTGGTAGGACTGAAATACTTTGTATCCCCAGGTGGAGTGGAATGCACAGTGATCCTTCTTCCCCTCAATTCTGTGAGCCAGCACAACTGTCTGAGACAAGTCACAAGTGAAAGTTGTGAATGATCAGCAGGCCCACCTGGACAGTTAGTTCTACAGTTCCCTTATCTCTTCCATCCAAAAGATTGAAACATTTGGCTAGTGCCCTGTGGATTAGAGTAGGTGGGTTTTCTCCCTCTGCTTGGTAATTGTGGCTGTTTTGTTGTATGAGCATGGAGAGGAACTGGATACAGCAGAGAAAAGTTGTTAACTATAGTGCTGAGGCTCCCCAGGAAGTAAAAGAAGATAGTCAGTGAATAACCATAAGAAACACAAGTGAAACATGGTGCTATGCATATTGTGTCTCTTGGTATTATGCAAGTTTTTTTTTATATAAGATATACATTAGGAATGATGTCTAGCTTTGACTTAGTTCGTAGATGAATGAGCTAAGTCTGGGCTGTCCCAAGACAAGTGAACAAGGGTGTGTGTTCGTGTATTCTTGTGGACCCAGCAAAGTAGATACTGGATCTGCTTTAGGAACCTAGTTACATGGGGTCTTAATGTTAGAAGCATAGGACTTCTATGGAGAGGTTTCATCTGGTTTGTGGTAAAGCTATTGAGAATTGTCCTTCTGTGATAAACAGGCTTAGATGAGGTGCTGCTGCATCCAAAGCAAGCAACAGATAGGTCCGAGTCTCTTGTTCTCTTTCAAAAAGTGTCCTGATTAGCGAGTGCTTTTACCAGTATTCAGTGGAGAGGTTGATGGTCTCTGGTTTGGTTGTTTGGCCCTCTGGTTTTTATAAATTTATGGCAGAGCCAGGTGTGGTGGCACACGCCTTTAATTCCAGCACTGTGCTAGAAGCAGGTGGATCTCTGAGTTCAAGGCCAGCCATGTTAGAAGAGGCCATGTCTCAATAAATAAGAAAATTTGCCCTTAATTCACTTATTTAACAATTTAGCCGCCCCAAATTCTAGATAAGTGAGACATTTATTGTGATGCCTGTTTTTGGTTGTCAACTTGATAACACCTGTGAAGAGGGACCCTCATGAGGAATTACCTCATCAGATTGGTCCATGGGCATTTCTTAGGCCATTTTCTTGATTGCTAATAAAGGGAGGAGGGCCTAACACACCGTGGATGGAACAGCCCTGGGCAGGTGGTCCTGGGTTGTATATGAAAGCTAGCCAAGCAGTTTTCACAAGTCAGGTAGTATGTTCCTCCATGATCTCTGCTTCGGTTCCTGCTACCTCCAGAGCAGATGGTTCTGGGTCTTAGAAGAAAGCAAACTGAGCAAGCCAGCTAGCAGTATTCTTCCATTTGCTTCAGTTCCTGTCAGAAGTTTCTCTGACTTTCTTTCCTAAGTTGCTGCTTTTGGTCAGCGTTTAGCACAGCAAACTGTTACTTCTTAGAGTATATGTTTTGCCAGAGTTAAACCATGTCCAATCCCCCCCCCCCCAGGTGTTTTAGCTCACCTGGAAAGACTAGAGGCTCAGATGAACAGATCGAGTAGAAGGTCTGAGGAGCTGACAGTTCACACAAAAGAAAGTTCTCTGAGAACCAAGATTCATGAACTGCGGAGACAGCGAGATAAGCTGAGGGCTGAAGTGAAGCAACGTCGAGCCACAGTGAGTGGGAAAGCCTTGTCAGCTCTCCTGGGGTGTGAAGATCAATCAGAATCATGTGTTTTACTTGGGGTCGTACTGGATTGGTTTCAAGTCTTTGATTCCCTTCAGATAAAACAGATCTATGAAATAGTGACTAATAATTGTCAGGTGGTGAGGCGCAAGGCAAGCCTCAGCTTTCTCTCACAGAACCTGATCTGGCACTTCAACCTCAGCAGATGTAAGTCGATTATAATTCTGCCATTGGTGCCAGTGTTCTGTCACCCAGTCTCAGAATTTCACAGTGAGCATTGGCCAGTCCTTCTTTCTGGTTTCCACTCTAGCTAAGGTCCAGTGAGCAGATCTGTCCCAATGGTCGTTTTTTCTGTCTTTGTACTTCTCCTCTGCCATGCATTAAGTATTATCAGCATATGTGGTAAACTCACTTACCAGGTTGGTTGGATCCTAGGATAATTATAGTAGTTTGGGGGACTCTTAATATTTCCATTTTTCCACTAAATCAGTAACCACTTAGTTAAAGCTGGCCTTCCTGCCGGTTCCTTCCCTACCTCCCTACTCTTCCTCCCCCTTTTCTTTAATTCACTTTTTTAATTGAAGCAAAGTATATGTAATGTGAAGAGGGCATTGCACATCTTGATGAAATACAGCCAAGTTTCTACCAGGAGTGAAAAGCATGGGATGTTACCAGTACTCCAGAATTCTCCTTTTGCCTCTGTTAATCCCGCCGTTCCATGTAACAAGGATCCAGATCTGTTACCAAGAATGACTTTTACCTGATTTTGAACAATGTTTTGGATCTTGCTACTTAGCCAGGCTTGAATTAACTCTAACTCAGGCTGTACCAGATCATGCAGTCTTCTTGACTCAGAGTTCATGTCACCACACCTGGCTTGAATTTCATACAGCTGTAGGACATAAACTCTCCTGTCTTGCTTATTTTATCAAGAGAGATTGATTTAGATCATCACTGTGTGGCAGTCCTGCCTTTTTTGTTGTTGTGTTGTTTTCTGAGACAGGATTTCTTTGTGTAACAGCCCTGCCTGTTCTGGAACTCACTCTGTACACCAGGCTGACCTCTGCCTCCTGAGTGCTGGGATTAAAGGTGTGCAGCACCACTGCTGGTCCACAGTTGTCTTATGATTTACCTATTTGATGTCATGTGGGCCATTTGGGTTGTTTCACTTTGGGTTTATTGTGAAGATTGCTGCTGCTGTGATATTCTTATTGCTTTTGTTTCATTAAAAACAATACTTTCCTATTCTGTACAAGCCTTAGTAGAAATTCTAGGACATGGAACCTGCCTATTAACTTTAGTGAGTACTGCCACCTTGTAAAGTACATGTGCCCGTTTTATGGTCCCAACAGTGGCTACTGAAGTTTCTGTTGTTTTGCAACTTTACCGGGATGTGGCATTGTCAGTTTTAAAAATTTGTCGTCATGATGGGAGTGTAATAGTATCTTGCTATAGACTTAATTTGTATTTGACTTTTCTTTGTCATTCTCTAAAGAGCAGAATTAAACTGTTTTTATGATATATAATTACATTGTTGATAATCTGGAGGTAATTTAAAGTATACAGGAAATGGAGGTTATATGCAAATACTCTGGTCTTTTATTTTAGGCAACTGACTTGAGTATCCATAGATTTGGATATCTGCAGTAGGTCCTAGATTCAACCTCCCTTCAGCACTGTGCTGTGCCCATGCTGTGTTAGATTCTCGGATTCTTCTAAGTATTCTTAAAGCCTTTGAAATAAACAAATAAATTTCATCGGCTAGGATTTTTTCTTTATATGTTTTGCATTTGAGATCTTTACTTTTAGACTATGGCTTGCCTTCCACTCTATATAAGTGGAGATCGGTTTTGAAATTTAACTTTGTGTTCTTGTTCATAAATCTTCATCTGTTATTTTTATATTTTGTTTCATCTTTCAGAGATAGCTCATGCTTACCCCCACTGCCTCCCAGTATGCCTCCCAAACAGAAATCTTGGAAAGATCACTTGTAGTTGGTCATCCCTAGATTGTTTGGTTTCATTGATCTGTTTTACAGCGGGCCTTATTTTTTGAGGAGCAGGTATCATAGGCTGTGATGTCTGTAGCAGCTACACAACTCTGCTTTGTTTGTAAGAAAGATGTGTAAAAATGGGCATGGTGTGTGCTGGTTAAACCTAATTTTTAAAAAGCACCCTGCTGGTCATGGTAGCACAGGCTCTGTAATGCCAACAATTGGGAGGTTAAGGAAGAAAGATTCAGAATTCAGGACCAGCTTCAGCTGTTATCACAAACTGTCGTTTGGTAACCCCTGAAGTGTGTGGTTTTATCTTTTAGATGTTTTCCTAACTGAATGTTCTGTTGTATACATTTGAAGGCCAGATTTGGTGCACACCTTTAGTTCCATCACTTGAGGCAGACATAGGTGCATCTCTGAGTTCCAGGACAGCCAGAGCTACATGAGAGACCTCATCTCAAAGCAAAAGGGGGGGGGGGGAGAGGGGGGAGTAAAGGAATACCTTTGACATTTGGAGTCTTAAGTTAGACATCTTTTTTGTATTTTTTTAAAAAATACTTTAAGAATGTTATCTGTTATCTCCAGGCGCATGTCTCCAAAATTAGATATTAATCTTACCAAGTGATAATTCTTGTTTGAATGTGATTTCTTTTTTTTCTTCCTTTCTTTCTTTCTTTCTTTCTTTCTTTCTTTTTTTAACTTTATATTCTGTCTTTGTGTCTTTGGTATCTGACAGTTTATGCCATAATGAGATCAGGTATGGCGTTTGTTACTTGAACTTTTTCATTTATTGAAAAAATGTGACCATTATCATTTCAGGTAATGCTTCAGTGGCACTCTTTGCTATGTTTCTGGGGTTCCTATGAACAGTGTTTTGGTTTTTTTGGGGTTTGTTTGTTTGTTTGTTTGTTTAGTTTGTGTTTTCCTATACTGATTCTATCCTTGTTTTTGCTCATACCTGTTTCATTTAATCTTTTCTTAATATTGTTTCTTATATTGGGTTTCATTATGACATTTTTACATATGTATGTTGTATTCCCAATACCCTTTATTCCCCACCCCTGGTTCCTTTTCCCAACCTGCTCCCTTCTACTTTCATGGGGTTTTTTGTTTTTCAATGTAGTGGCCCAGTGCCTTTCATTTGGTTGCATATAAGGGTATGAGTAAGGTTTGTTTACAGGAGTATGGGAATCTTACCAATGGCAACATCACTGAAGATAATGTCTCTTCCTTCCTGGGAAGTCATTGTGTATAGTCCTTCAAAAGCATTTTGTTGTTGTTGGGGTTCTTTTCGTCTCAATTGTATTTGGATTTTCTCTAATACCTTCAGATCATTTTCTGTTTGCCTGGTTATTTGTGTGGTTCATTCCGCTTGCACACTTAACCCTCTGAGGAAAAGGTAGCTGCAAGTGCAAGTCTGAGTATTGGCTTTTCCAGCTTTGCCTTTCCATGGCATCTGTCTTGTTCACACCCTTTGCTTGCTCTTCTGAAGTCTTCTCGGTTGCCATCAGGATCCTGGTTCATTAGCTCACAGTTCTATACCCAGTCCCTCACATCATGACCCCTACATTCTCTCCCTCTCATGTATGTCACAGCACCAACTGAGTGATCACGGATACCTTATACAATAGAGAAACTGCCCTTATTTTTATGCAACCAAATGGTGGCTGAGACTTTGTGGTACCTCTGTTGTAACTAGTTAGCTTTGCTGCATGTCCTGCAGATTAAAGTATCTTCGGCCAATGAAGATCCAAACAGAACAGTGGAGCTCAGTGAGCCGGAGGATCTGGCAAGGCAATGGGGAAATGTGAAAAGCATTCTACGGGCTTATCGTTTTACAGGTAGGCCTTCGTTCTCATCTGACTTGTTGGCTAGCTGTATTATTAGGCTTGGCTCCTGAGAACTTACTTTCACACACTGCCATACATACACAAGCTGGCATGCTGCTTTGTAGGCCTGTCTGCCTATAAGGTCAGCCTCTTTAGACAGGAAAAGATTGGTGGCTGGTAGCTGGCCAAAGTGCTTTCTTTTCATGATACTCATTTTCTAGGTTCTCAACTGTGAATCTCAACCTGTGAGTCATGACCCCTTTGCGGGGGTGGGGAGGTGTCAAGTGACCCTTTCACAGAGATTGCATGTCCAAAACAGTAGCAAAATTACAGTTGTGAAATAGCAATGAAAATAATTTTATGGCTGGGGTGACCACACATGAGGAGCTGTATTAAAGGATCACAGCATCTACTAGAACTTTGTTATGGGAATGGTCATGGTTTGAACTTCAGATCTCTGCTTCAGCATAAATAGGAATTTATTCTTCATCTATGCCATAGAAGACTGTGGGAGGAATGGAGAACTATCGTAAATTAGAACTCAGGGAATAAAAAGAATACATAAAACAAAATTTCTAACTTCCTCAGTATTTGATATTTAGCATATCTTCTCATTTCCTCCTCTTTCCGTAATTGTAACAACTCCTCATGTGAACAGTCAGAGTGAGTGTCTGATACTATTCTTTTGGACAGCACTTGTGTATTGGTGTACCAAGCCTTCTGCAGGCTGCTAGAATGTCCAGAGAGCAACCTACAACCTTTGATTGACATCTGAGAGGCATTGTCTTGTTGTTTGCCTAGGGCTCAGCGGGAAGTTGACCAGCCATGGAGTCTGTGTGTGCATCAGCACTGCCTTTGAGGGGAACCTACTGGATTCCTACTTTGTAGACTTTGTCATAGAGAAACCACTCCGGATTCATCACCATTCCATCCCAGTCTTCATCCCTCTGGAAAAGATAGCCACAGCATACTTACAGACTGATATCCAGCGCTTCCTCTTTAGTCTCTGGGAGTACCTAAACGCCTACTCAGGAAGGAAGTACCAGATGGACCTACTTGAGGTATTTGTGTAGGGATTTTGTGTCTGATTTTATTGCCCAAGACAGACTTCAAAGGAAGACAAAGGAGCATGTTTTCTTTTCCTTTTTTTTTTTTTTTTTTTTTTTTAAAAAAAGACCAGGTTTCTCTGTGTAACAGCTCTTGCTTGCTGTCCTGGCTGGCCTCGAACTGATAGAGATCTGCCTGTCTCTGTGTTCTGAGTGTTGGGATTAAAAGTGCACCACCATCACCCAGCTAGGAGAATGCTTTCTTAAAGAAAAGACTCATTTATTTTTGAGACAGAGTTCTCCAGTCCTAGCTGGATGTACAACCCATCCTGGTCTTGAACTTGGGCCAATATACCCATCTCTGCCTCCTAAATGCTGGGATTAAAAGTGTGTGGCAACATAGCTGATTTTGCTTTTATTATTTATATATAAATTTCTCTTTTGCAGGGATGGAGATTAGATCTAGGGCCTTGTGCATGATGGGAAAGTACTCTGCCACTAAGCCACACCCCTGCCCTTAGGTTTCCTAACACTGAGCTAGAAGTTTGTCTATTACCTTTACTGTTTTTGATCAGTTGATTGGTTTGAAAGAAGGGTTCGTTCTGTAGCCCAGGCTGGTCTGGAACTGACTTTGAAGGCCAGGCCACCTTCATAATCAGCAATTCTCCCACCTTAGCTTCAGTGTCAATGACAGGCATGTGCCACCCTGTCTTGTGCACTCGGATTTCTATTCTTGTTTCTTCAAGCAAGTTCCCTCTCTATGTCATACCCTTTTGCAGCTCTCAGTGATGTTGAAGGGCTGGTCCTGGTTACAGGGTCTCATTCCTGCTGGTGACCCTCTAATTTTTATTACATGACAGACAGTTGTCATGCTGTTAATTGAGCAAGGATTTTGAGCTCTGGTGCTATGTGTTCAATGCTATGCTGCTGACCCAAAATGCAAGTGTCCAATTCCATAGGGGACTGCAGTTTGACTCCAGCCCACCTTCCAAGTGGGAAACCATAGGTAGGAAATGAATACAAAGAAAGTGACTCTGGCTGGGCAGCTCCATCTCTGCCCAGGTATCAGTTAAAGAAAATGTCTTTCCATACAAGATAACCTCAGTGTCGCTCCTTGCAGAAATAGTGTCTCCTCCTATCTGTTCCCTGATCCACTGAGTGCTTCCTATTACAGTGAAAGTTTCACCCCAGCCCCTGGCATCCACACCCAAAGAGTCTGGGATGTTAAGGTGGAGATCACTCCAGCCCCCAGCATCCACACCCAGAGAGTCTGGGATGTTAAGGTGGAGGTTCCATCCAAGACCTCCTTCCTCATCTCCCTCCAAACTCTGTTCCATCTCAGAAAGCCTGCCAAATGATGCCCCCTCCCCCAGAGATTCTGAAGACCACTCCCCAGAGAACAGATTCCTGGTTTTTCCTGCCTCCTCCTAGGGGGACTGGAAGGCCATCCAGGGGTATTGTATCCATTAAAGGTGGGTGTTTTCTAATTCGGTTTGACTTGATCTAGTTTGGATTGCTGCATCGGTGGAGAGGCTTATCAGAGTGTAGAAACTTCATCTGGCTCCAGAAAGGGTATAGGGATGCCAGGGGTTGGGGTGACACTTCCACCCTAACGCTTCCCACTAAGTTTTGTGTGTTGTGAGGCTGGAGAGTACCTGTGGAGCAGTAATCGGCAAGCCCTCTCACTGTTCCTTACCCCTGCAGACTGACTTCAGCGCCTTCCTCACTGGACCTTTACAGAGAAATGCCCTGTGCAACTTGCTGTCGTTTACCTATGAAGTGGATCAGGGACGCCAGACCTTTTCCTTTAGTGCCACATTGCAGTATGAGAACCTCACAGCAGCTCTTCCCACAGATGTCACTGTGACGTGTCCAGGTATGAGGAACCATGCCTCACTGAAGAAATACATGCTGTAGTTGAAGCAAACGGAGTGAAGTGTACATTACCTAAAGCCCCTTCTGTTCTCTGTCTAGAAATATACTGAGATACAAAGAAAATGTGCCTACAGTTTTTCTTCTTTGTAGATGTTAAGCATCATTACCTTAGTTTTCCCCATCCGTTGTCTTTCCTGATGGCCAGAATTTTGATTTACAGACTGTTTTCATGGACATGTGCCCTCCCCCATCCATAAGATAGACAACTAAGGCAGAGTCCTGGGGTTGCCTATGATGAAGTTAGCATACACTTAACCCTCTAGAGTAAGTTCTGTAAGTGGCAGCTTTTCAGGGCTAACTAGACTTGCTTTCACCTGCCACATAGAAGTACCATCATAATCTGACACAGGTGCTAATTTTTTTTAAAAAGCAATATTGTGATGATGTCACAAGTTCACACCCAGAGACTGTTCTAGTCTCTTTTTTTCTAAGTTTCTGTTCTCAGAATAAGTCACATGGGTCCAGAAAAGCAGTGATTTGGTTCTGAGTTCCTGGTTGGATTCATGAGCTTGACAGAATCTCTTCCTTTAGGGGCAGAAGCATCAACCACTTGTTGGGAAGAACACAAAGCAGCTCATGAAATACTCTTCCAAACCAAGCCATTGCACCAGGTGTTTGCTTCCTTTTCCAAACAAGTAGAAATGCTGGATTTGAGCCTGGTCTCCTGAAACACTTTCTATGTGGACACATCTGAAGCGAATATGTTCATGCTGCCTGCAGTTCAGGACCTGTCAGCAAAAGCTGTGGAGGGAGAATGCTTGCCTGGATACCAGCTTGCCATGAGATTAGATACCCACTTCATGGGAAGGACAAAGAGCATGTTGAGTAGACACTGTGTGACTGGACAGATCTCCTTGTCTTTATAAGTACCAGTTGATTTGATCATATGTATATATTCATGCTGAAAATCAGCTACATTGGGAGTAACTGAAGACATTTTGTGAGCATCTGTAGCTTTTGTGGGAGCTATAAATCTATGATGGGACTTGTAGATAAGAAGGGAACATGTATAATCTTGGATTTGGGGTAGCATGTTCTAGGCCACTATTTGGTGGGAGAAAGTACTTTTTATAATTAGGGGTTCTGTGTACTTAATATTTTGTTTCCTAAAATACCTTGGTTGAGAGCTGACGCATGAAGTCACTTTGAGAAATCACCGTTAGGAATCTGCACATAAATCACTGAACCCTCCCCTGACTTGTCTCCCTCCTGAAAGCTCCAGGCATGCTGTCTGTCCAGTCCTCTTCCCATCCCTAGATGCCTTTAAAGCACCTTTTCTCCTAACCATGGTTTCTTCCTTGGCTTAGGACTTCTTCATAGCTGTTTAGACCTGTCTGCTGGTCAAGTTCTCTCATTACATTTCCTGTTCCTCCTCTGCTAGTCCCAAATAAGATCTTTAAACTTCACAGGCCCAGCATTTGGGCTTCACTCTAAACTAGCTGCTTCCTAGAAATCGCCATGTGTGGGTGCTCCAGCAAACTCCATGAATACAGGATATTAAGCCAGCATGGGTCACCCCACAGAGGCTTAGAATAAAAGTTTCTGTCAAGTTTTTGCCCTCCAGGTACTCGGTAGGGGGTGAGATGACGCAGTAACAGAATTGTCACAATGGTGCCTTCAAGTTGAGTAAAGCTTTTAATAAAACAGCCCTGTTCTTTACCAACACCTGCAGATTCTCTGTTGAAGCAGTAGCAAGAGCTCAGAAGACAAGGCAATATTGGAAGGTTGTCTTTAAACAGGTTAAAAATATAAATGTAGAAGATCTGTTGATATATTTTTCTTTCAGAAATGACCCCCTCTCCCCCCAGGTGAAAGGAAATATTGCACTTTCTACTCTCGTGACTAAGGTGACACGGGTTCCAGAAGAACCTTTCAAGATTATCAGGAGCATCGGGGAAAGGGCCACTGACCCAACTGCACAGGAGGCAGCTGGCCGCCAGTGGAGCTCTCCAGTGAAAAAGCACTGCTGTGACTGCAGCCAGGGGGCGCTTTCTCCACCCTGAGCCTCTTCAGCAGAGCCCTCTGCTGCCATCCCACTCACAGTGGCCAGGGCCTCTCAGGGCTGAAGGGCCCAGGTGGAACAAAGGCTCTGGAAAGGCTGTTCCGGTACTTACTACACCTACGACCCTACTCTGGGGACGCTACGAGCACACCCTCAGAGCTCACATCCACACAACAAGGAAGGCTGGAGGAAATCTGAAACCTAAGTCTATGGGAATGTGCACTTCAGCAATTTGGGAACACCAGGACTTGGCCATTTGCCCTTTCCCAAAAGCCTTTCTTCACTTCCGAAAGAATCTCCCTTCTGATGTGTGGACCATGGGCTGTGAGCCCATTCAGGAGTTGTCTACGACTTGGTGGGGCAGTGTGACAGAGGAGCCATTGGGGAAGGTGGCTGGCCTGTCGCGCCCCTTCAAGAAAAAGGTCAGGAGCTCCCCTTTCCCTTTCACAAAGATGGGACCTCGCCTCACAAAGCGGAAGCCATACTCGCGAAGGATGACCTGCGTTTCTTCTACCACCTGCATGTGGAGAACAGAGACAAGATCAGAAAAGAGAGAGAGCCAGGGCTGGTGGGTAGAGTGGTGCTCTGCCTCCACCCCACATGGGGGGAGAACCATCATCAGCCACAAGGCACTCGGGTATCAGGACCACCATTTTAGGTCAGTTACTTCAGTTGCTGTTAGAACATGTAAACTTTGTACCAAAAGGCAGGCTTTTATTCACTCAGAACTCCTAATCTAAAATGTTAAGTCTCTAGAGGCCTCAGTGCACTTAACACTTGGCCCTGCAGCACTACCATCTTTGATCTGTGTGGCTCACAGGCAAGGAAGGGTCAGCAATGTATGGCAAAGCCCACCAGCTCCTTTTCTTGTAACCCCTGCATTCAATCCATGCTCAGTTCTGGTGCTGAACATACCTGGATGTTTCCCATGACCCCGGTAGATTCCATCCTGCTGGCCACATTGACTGTGTTGCCCCAGATGTCATAGTGCGGTTTCCGGGCTCCAATGACCCCAGCCAGAACCCCGCCTTTGTTCATGCCTGGGGTAGAGAGTGGAGCCAAGCTTGCATTAGCCTCTCAGAAGCTACCAAATGCTCTTTCATAAATGGCCACCTGGCCCCCCACAGGGCTCCCCATCATATAACACCTATATTCCATGCTAAAAGCCCTGCACAGCTGTCTGTTATGCTGATACTCGGGACTGTAGGAGCCAGCTTCTCTGTAACCTTTCTAATATCTCAAACTTGTATGAACTCTCCCAAAAACGGAGTCATTCCTCATAACTGCCTTATTGCAATGGCTGACTCAGAAGAGAAGCTAGACTGCCCTTGCAAACCATTAGGAATGGGTCTGGCTTGGCTGTTTCCTCAACAAGAACAGGAATAAAGGTCATCCAGGTCCTCCCCTAGTTCTGTCAGTGTGGTCTTCCCCAGCACTGCCGGTGCTGTTACCTATGCGTAACATGAAGTTGTTGAATGACTGGTTGTTGATGTTGGTGAGTGTATCCTTCATGGCTAATGCAAAGTCGGCCAGGTCGGCCAGGTGCTGCCAACGCTCCTTGTCTGACTTCTCCTGTGTGGAAAGTGATATTGTCAGAACCATCCAGGCCATGACCATAGCACCTGGGCATAGCTGCTACGGGACGAGTACAAGGAGCAGGCTGCTAACACCCTTCTTTTCTTCCCTCCCCAGAAGGAATTAGCAATCTCTTTAGGGCCAGCATGTGACCACTGCAGAGTTCATGCATCTATGAAAGGTGGGCGATGACTGGACCAAGAAGGTGGGAAAGATGCCCTGTCTCAGTTGTCCTCTGTGTTGAGTGACTGATCCTTTCCTGCTTCCTCAAGGCCATAAGCACTTGAGTCACGTAAGCCCAAGGTGGCCTAACTCAGAGAGAGAAGATAGATGTAAAGGAAAACTGGATGTTGATTTAAGAACAGTGCTTGGTCTCTAAGACTCCCACAGTTCTTTTCTGCCTGGAAGTCACACAGGCTCCACGGCCTACTCAAGCTCAATAAAGGCCAGTCATCAGCAGACGGGAGTCTCCGGCTTCAGAACTGATACAGTTCTTAAACAGTGTGGGGGCATCGTGGGGATGTACATCACCTTTTCATCTGATTCTCATTTCTCATGGGCTGAGGCTGGCTGCCTGTATCCTACACTGCTGCATCTCCAGCTGCTGCTTTCATTGCCTTGCTAGTTACTAACAAGTGAATTACCTTGCTAGAGCTCGAAAAGCCATTGGTGTTGACATCTGGGGTGACTCCTGAAGCTGCCATATAGGTGCTGCCAATGGTTTTGATCTTGGTGATGACCCGGAATTTGGGATTGTCCAGGAGCTGAGGACAGAATTAGTAGAATCAAGGAAAGATGAGTTTACCATCACATTTGCCTCTTTACAAGGATCAACAGTGCATCTAAATGACACTTTCTTATAACAGCTTTAGTCATTCTATGCTACCTTGGCATATGATTCTCTGCCTCAGTCTCCATAACCTAAAACTAAGATCTTAATGTTTGTGGTTAGTCTCCCTAGGTGTTAGAGCACCTAAGGAAAGGTCTGCAGTCAACAGTCATGTTTAATACAGGTTTGAGGGGAGGAGGGATGGGAAGTCCTTAATCCCCTGAATTTGCCAGGGCTATCCTGCCTTACCCCTCAGACTCATCAGTTCTGGATGGATGCACAAGTCCAATGACTAAAAGTCTCATGGGAAATTAAGTCCTAGCATAACCTGCTCTTTTGACTTGTACAGAATGTTTTGGGATGTGATATAAAGGTGTTAGCTCTATGACAGGAGGACACTCACAGAGTCAAAATCAGAGATGATCTCGTTGAGGAAGCGTAGACACTCTATGCCACCGTTGTTAATGCTCTCCTCAGTGTAGAAGTCAGCAAAGTTAGGCAGAGAGGCAAACATGACTCCAATCTCATCATAAGACTGGCTGTACAGCTCCTAAAACGAGGTGGAGCCAGGGTAGGGTAAGCACTTGCTGCACAATTGTGAAGACCAGAGTTCAGTGCACCAGAGCAAGAGGCAAACTGGCAAATCAGAATACAGTGAGCCTAGATTCAGCAAGAGATTCTCTGTCCATATATAGGGGGCAAAGCAGTAGAGGAAAACAGCTCCCATGGAAGCTTCCATCTCAACACATGCATACCTCTATACCACACACACAAACACTCAAGCATGGAAGGGACAGCTGCCTGACAGGATAGCATTTAGGAAACCTGTCTGTCGTCATTCTCACTCATGTGTGCACTTCACTTTGAATAATTAGAAAAAAGCTCCTTCCCACTATGAATAAAAACATTTCCTAGCCCTGGTAACAGCCCAGTGAGCTAGCTAGTTTGATACCAACTTGACATAGTTTGAGTCATTTGGAAAACCTCAATTGGGAAAAAAAGCCCCTCCCCAGATTGGCCTGTGGGTAAACCTGTAGTACATTTCTTTGATTGACAACCCAGCTCACAGGACTGTGCCACCCCCAGGTAGATGGTCTTGGGTGCTATAAGAAAGCAGGCTGAAGCTGGGCTTTGGTGGTGCTTGCTTTTAATCCAAACACTTGGAAGGCAGAGGTAGGCTGATCTCTGTCTCAGCCTAGTCTACAAGAACTAGTTCAAGGACAGCTTCCAAAGTCACAGAGAAACCCTGTCTTGAAAAACAAAAAAAAAACAAAAAAAAAAAAAAAAAAAAAAAAAACAAAAAAAAAAAAAAAAAAAACCAGAGGGGGGGGGGGGAGAAGAAAAAAAGGCTGAGCACAGTAGGCGATCGTTCCTCCATGGCCTTTTATATCATTTCCTGCCCTGACTTCCCTTGGTGATGAGCTATTGGCCTGGAAGTTGCTTATGGTGTTTCATCTCAATAACAGAAACCTCCAGAGAAGGACAGCAGAGTGGTCAGCTACCTTGATGTGAGGTCTTATTGACAGAAGGGACACTTTGGTTCTAAAATGGAGCTCCAGAGATGCAGCAGAGCCCTTTAGATGAGACCCTGGGAAAGTCTCCTGTTAGGTCCAGCCATAGTTGGACTTGAACCCTAGTTATAAAAGGACTGGGCTTCACATACCACCCTCTTACCTCATCTCTCTTCTTGGACCCCAGGAAATGGCGTGCAACATGCTCAGGCAACATATTGGTGACCAAGGCCTCATTCCATCGCCGCATCTCATAGACACGTTCTTTCTGGTC